CAGAGTGTGTCCTTTGGACTGGGGTCCCTGCACCGAGAAGCTCCTAGTCCGGGGGAACACTGATGAGAAGGCCGAGAGAGAGAGAAAGCCTTCCCCTGGAGCTGACACCCTGAATTTGGACTTTTAGCCTACTTTACTGTAAGGAAATAAACTTCTCTTTGTTAAAACCATCCACTTGTGGTATTTCTGTTATAGCAGCACTGGATGACTAAGACAGATGAGCTGAACATCAGAATGGAGGAGGCAGAGGAATGATTTAATGAGCTTGAAAATAGAACATTAGAAATTACCCAATCTAAAAAACAGAGAAAATAGACTGGAAAAACATGAATAACCCCCAAAAATGGAAACAATCCAAATGTTCATCAATAGATGAATGGATAAACAAATTGGGTATATTTATACAATGGAAGATTATTTAGCCTTAAAAAGGAATGAAGTTCTGATAAATGCTAGAACATGGATGAACTTCAAAAACATTATGTTCAGTGAAAGAAGCCAGGCACCAAAGGTCACATATATGATTCTATTTATATAAAGTATTCAAAATAGGGAAATCCATAGAAACAGAAAGCAGATTGGTGGTTGCCAGCGGCTGCAGAGAAGGAAAATGGGGAGTAACTGCTTAATGGGCATGGGGTTTTATTTTGGAGCGAAAAAAATGTTTTGGAACTGGGTATAGGAGGTGGTTGTAGAACACTGTGATTATACTAAACGCCACTGAATGCCTTACTTTAAAATGGTTAATTTTATGTTATGTGAATTAAACTTCAATTAGATAGACAGACAGACAGAGATAGTCTCAGCAACCTGTGGGACCAAAAGGAATGATCTAAAGTATCATTGGAATCTAGAAGAAGAGGAGAAAGAGGGCAAGGCTGAAAACTTACTCAAAGAAAAAAATGACTGAAAATTTTCCAAATTTGGCAAAAGATATAAACTTAGAGATTCAAGAAGGTGAGTGAACCCAGAATAGAATAAATAAAAAACAAATCCATACAAAACCCATTAAATTTCTGAAAATTAAAGGGAAAAAAAAAAAAGTAATCCTGAAAGCAGTGAGAGAAAGGACATCCTACCTATAGGGGAAAAATAAATTGAATGACAGTGGCTTTTTCATCAGAAACCATGGGGGCAAGAAAAAAAGGGGAATTTTTCAAGTGCTGAAAAAAAGAGAACTGTCAACACATAATTCTATATCCAGTGAAACTATCCTTCAGAAATGAAGGGCAAATCAAGACATTCTCAGATGAAAGAAGATTAAGAGAATCTGTCAACAGCTGACATACCCTAAAAGATTGGCTAAAGACGTTCTCTTAACAGAAAAGAAATATAAAAGTAGGAATTTTGGAACATTGAGGAAGGAAGAAATACAACGTGAAGAGTAAAAATATGGGTAAACACAAATCATTTTCCTTCTCCTCTTCAGTATTCAAAATTAGGTTTGATGGTCAAACGAAAAAAGAATGTAACACTGTCTGGTGTGGTTCTAAATGTATGTGAAGTAAATATTTAAGACAATTACATTAAAAACAGAGGAGGCAAAGGGATATAAAGGAAGGTGAAGTTTCTACACTTCACTTGAACTGATAAATGACATCGGTAGACTTAGAAGAGTTATGTATATATAATGTATTAGCTAGAGTAAATACTTTAACAATCTATAAAAAGAGATACACTCAAAAACATTAGAAATAAATAAAAATGGAATGCTAAAAATGCTCAAGTAACACAGGAAGATGGAAAAAAGAAAGCAAATGAATAAGAAAGAGAAAATAAAAAATAAAATGATGCACGTAAGCACTAACATGTCAATAATTACATCAAATGTAAACGGTTTAAATACGCCTATGACAAAAGAGGTTGAGTGAATCAAAAAACATAACCCAACTCTCCAAGAACCCACTTCAAATATAATGCTATAGATAAGTTGAAAGTGAAAGGATGAAAAATAATATGTCATGCAAATACTAATCAAAAGAAGGCAGAAATACTATATTAATATAAGATAAAATGAACATGTGAGAAAGAGCGAGACATTATGTAATGATAAACGGGTCAATTTAACAAGAAGACATAATAATCCCAAGTGTGCATCAGAAAATAGCAAGGCTAGAAAATATGTGAAGTAAAAATTGATAGAACTGAAAAAAGAAATAGATAAACCCACAATTATAGCTGAAGTCTTCAATACTTCTCTTTCAACAATTGGTAAAAACTAGACAGAATAACAACAAGATGTAGAAAAACTCAACACCACCACCAACCAACAGGATCTAATAGACTTTTATAGAACACTCCACCCAACAACAGCAGAATACACATTCAAGTGTCCATGGAACACATATCATATCCTAGGACCAATAAGCAACATCATGATAAACGGAGAAAAGACTGAAGTTGTAAAGGATTTCATTTTACTTGGATCCACAATCAATGCTCATGGAAGCAGCAGTCGAGAAATCAAACAACATATTGCACTGGACAAATCTACTGCAAAAGTCCTCTTTAAAGTATTAAAAAGCAAAGACATCACTTTGAGGACTAAGGTGCGCCTGACCCAAGCCATGGTATTTTCAGTCACCTAATATGCATGCAAAAGCTAGACAATGAATAAGGAGGACCAAAGAATAAATGATGCTTTTGAATTACGGCGTTGGTGAAGAATATTGAATATACAATGGCCTGCCAAAAAAATGAACAAATCTGTCTCGGAAGTACAGCCAAAATGCTCCTTAGGAGCAAAGATGGTGAGACTTCGTGTCACATACTTTGGACATATTATCAGGAGGGACCAGTCCCTGGAGAAGAACATCATGCTTGGTAAAGTAGAGGGTCAGCAAAAAGAGGAAGACCCGCGATAAGACAGACTGACACAGTGGCTGCAACAATGGGCTCAAACACAGCAACGACTGTGAGGATGGCACGGGACCAGGCAGTGAGTGTTTCATTGCGTTGTGCACAGGGTTGCTATGAGTAGGAACTGACTCCATGGCACCCAACAACAACAATCTCATTTCTCTTTACAGATGTTAAAAAAAAAAAAAGAAGTCTTATATAAGATTTGAGCCTTTGCAAATGTAAATGGTCTTCTGTGAGGCAGTACAGCGAAGTGCATAGGACCATGGCCTCTGGAGCTAGATTATCAAGGTTAGAATTCCCGGATGTCACATTACTTAACTCCTCTATGCCTCCTTTCTTCATCTCAAATAGGGACAATTATAGTATCTACTGAAGATCAAATGAGCCAATACGTAGGTAAAATGCTTGCAACAGTGTCTGGCATGACACTATGTAAGTACTGGTTGGTATTACAGTTCTTGTTATTATTATCGAAGCGTTCCAGAGACTGTTATCGCAGCAATTATGTTTTATTTTGTTCCTGTATCCAGTTCTCTGGCTTTAGAATAGGATCAGCAGACCACTGCTCATGTGCCGAATCCCACCTGCAGCCCAATTTGGTAAACAAAGTTTTACTGAAACACACCATGCCCGTTTGTTTTTGTACAATCTACGTCAGCTTTTGACCTACAGTGGCAGAGTGGAGTTGTCGGGAGCGAAAGTGTGTGGCCCATAAAGCTGAAAACATTTACTATCTGGTCCTATACAGAAAATGTTTAAGGATCTCTGCCTCAGGATAAACCCTGGAGACTATGGAATCTTGAAGATTACCGCTTAGACTAGCCTTCTGCAAACTTTTTTGTTTGTGTACCGTATCAGTTTTTTTAAAAAGATATTTTATACTATCTTTATATATTTATGAATTGTGTCACTATGAGTAGGAATCAACTCCACAGCACACCAGCACCGCCGCCACCACCGTGTAAGCAGCCTTATGACTCTTCATAAGGCCTTCACAAAAGTAAATATTTTAAAAGAATTTTATAAAAAATTAACAGATGCATCTCACTCTAGACACTTTGATCTAAACTTTTACTATTCAAAATGTTATTCATGGAACAGCCATATCAGCATCCCCTGGGAACTTGTTGGCAATGCAGATTCTCAGGCCCTAACCCAGACTTAGTGGATCAGAATCACATTTAAACAATGCTCCCAGGTGATGAGCATGCAGTTAGAGTTTGAGACGCACTGACATAACCCACCACACAGCTCTGACCCCTTATCGCACTAACACAGAAAGCATTTATGATATCTAGGTATGTAAAATAAGCAGGATACAGATTTGAATATGCATATCGTTAGTGCGATTCTGTGTGTGCGTATATAGTCAAAGCCTGGATGGAAAGAAGCAAAACATAAAAATAGCTTTTTAGGGTAGTGGGATTGCAAATTGCTCTCCCCTCTCCCGCCCTACTTTGTTCCCAGCACTTCTTAAACAATTCTGCTAATTTGTTTCATGATAATTGTTTAAGGCCAATATAGGCTTATACAGGCACCATTATTTGCCTTTTTTGCTCAATGCTCTCCTAGAATCACCAGAAATTTGGTGGCATGGAACCCCACACGGTAGGCTTATTCAGCCTCATTAACAACCAAGCTGACTTGGTTTTAGCCAGTTCAACCAACAGCAAGAAGAACAAATCAAAATAGTGGTCCAGGGCATACTCTTTTGAAGGACACCCAAAGCAGCTCAAACACTCTCTGGAAATAAGGTCCAAGCAGCCAACTTAGTCAGTACTCCTTATAGGTCCAAAGTCTTGGTCTACATTTGCCTGGGGATGCGGATCCAGAAGCCAGTGCCCCAGGTATATCCAGCACCCTGGTTGTGATGACAGTTGTCTTGTGCTGTCGATTCTGACTCATGGCGACCCCGTGTGTTGTAGAGTTGAACTGCTCCAACAGTTTTCTTGGCTGTAATCTTATGGAAGCATATTGCCAGGTCTTTTCTTCCACAGTGCTGCTGGGTGAGTTCGAACTGCCAACCTTCCAGTTACCAGTAGAGTGCAAACCATTTGTGCCACTCAGGGACCTTGTGATGCTGGCTACCTACCTGAGAGCTTCTCCTGGATGTTGGGGCGCATGTATGTGAACATTAAGCCCACTTTTCCAGCCACGAGGAATCCATATCCACCAATGAAACCAACTGACTACTCATCGGTGAGTCCATTATTAAATTCCCTGCTTCCTTCTCTTTCTCACTGCAGGCAGGCATCCCAGGCATACCATCCTTGCAAACAGCAAGAAGAAAACACCACCAGATTTTCAGAGAATCCAAGAGATAATCTTTATCACATATGTGAAAGCAACAATATGCTTCAATATGCTTCATTCAACTCCAAAGTCAATTTTTGAAATGATTTTTACTAAACGCCAACTTTTCTTCCCCCTTCATCTAAAGTGGCTATATTTTAGATTAACTTTTCATGTTTAGACAATGCAGCACTCCAGTTCAAATATGTTCCAGGAATATTTATGCGTAAAGATCTAGAAACCTACCCTCTTTAGCTACTGAGAGAGGAAAAAACCTTGAATTAAAAGGATAATGCTAGTTAGATGAACAAAACAATATCCACTTTCAAACTTCAACAATGATGTCTATACATGCCATGCAAAATGAAAACTAAATGAGAAGCAGTTAAAAGGAGTTTTATTACTGTTTCTATACTAGTCACACCCAAGCTATGAAGTCATTATTTAAATATTTTTAAACTCTGCACATCAAGGGGTGAATAAATAATTCAACACTCTTCTAAGAAAATTCTATTTTCACTCCTAAATTATGTTGTCACTTACCTTTATTTAAAGGTTTCAAGAGGAAGTAAGATTCATAATCATTCAAAGTGAATAACAGGGAGACACCACTACCACATCACTGGAAAAAATAAAATATACTTTAATTCAAGGTTTCTCAACAGTGGCTCTATTGGCATTTGGGGCCAGATAACTCTGCTGCAGGGAGCTGTCCTGTGCATTGTAGGATGTTGAGCAGCATGCCTGTCCTCTACAAAGTAGATGCCAGTACTCCTTCCCCACCCACCAGTAAAGACAACCAGACACGTCTCCAGACCTTGCCAAATGTCTCCTGGGAAATGAACCTTCTGCAGTGGAGAAGCACGGCTTTAAGTTCAGGACTAGGGCAGTCTGGTGGAATCCTGAGATGTAACTGAACTCCTTACTGGCTCTCCATGGGTTTCCTGGCATGCCAGACAAATAGGGTGATTGTTACCCATTCAACTTCCCACGATGACATTTTAGGAATCATCCAAGTATTAGCAGATGTCATGCAAGGCCATGAAGAGGCCTACGGCTTGACAGGTGGTGTTAACTGCATAAGTTTTCAAGAGACTGAAGGTATAATTCTGACAAGTAAGCCAATGACAGAGCTACTAGATGGAACAGCTGAGAAAATACCATAATGCCCAAAACTGAGCAAGCAGGTTATAGACCTGGCCTAAAAACCCACCACCGTCCAGTCAGTTCTGACTCATAGAGACCCTATAAGACAGAGTAGAACTGCCTCATAGGGTTTCTAAGGCTGTCATCTTTACGGAAGCAGATCGCCAGGTCTTTTCTCCCACAGAGCAACTGATGCGTTTGAACCACTGACATTTTGATTAGCAGCCAAGCACTTAACCACCGTGCCACCAGGGCTTCTGGCCTAGGTAACTATAAAAAACCTAACCCCCTATTATCCTAAATTGCTGGGCTCCAGAAAATTTGAGTAGTCAAGAGAAGTCCACCAAGATCTCATCAGGCATGCATCCAGAAGTCACTTGTGACTTCAAAGAAACCTCAATGGCGTAAGCAGCTCTCAGGTTGTCATTTCTTTTCCAAAGGAAATCTGTATTAAACTCACAACTACCTCCTACGGTCTCCCGAATGGGCCCACTTCTGCTCATCACACCTGTCTTAGTCGTCTAGTGCTGCCATAACAGAAATACCACAAGTGGATGGTTTTAATGAAGAGAAGTGTATTTCCTCACAGTCAAAGTAGGCTAAAAGTCCAAATTCAGGGTATCAGCTCCAGGGGAAGCTTTTCTCTCTGTCGGCCTTCTCATCAATGTTCCCCAGGACTAGGAGCTTCTCGGTGCAGGGTCCCCAGTCCAAAGGACACGCTGTGCTCCTGGCACTGCTTTCTTGATGGTGTGAGGTCCCCCGTCTCACTGCTCACTTCTGTCTTTTATATCTCAAGAGATTGCCTCAGGACACAATCCAGTCTTGTAGATCCAGTCCTGCCTTACTAACACAACCTCCACCCATCCTCCCTCATTAACATCATAGAGGCAGGATTTAAAACATAAAGGAAAATCACACAGTACCAGGAATCATGGCCCAGCCAAACTGATATACACATTTTTGGGGGGATGTAATTCAAAACATGACAACATCTTTCATTTCTGAACTACTAGAGAAGCTTCCAACCAGTCACCCAGCTTGCAATTTGGGTCTCCTCCACCTGATATCAAAGTAAACTTTCACAAGCAGAAATCTTATTACCATTCCCCAGCTAGCATTCCTCCATGGGCTTCCCAACGCACTTAGAAAGAAGTCCAAATACTTGCAAACTTCTGTGTTACCTGGATTGTAGCTTAGTGTAAACGGGGGTGTGGGAGAGGACAGGAAACTATATTGTGTGCAACAAAATCACCCCTTACGCAAGGTTTGATGTCAACGCAGTTTAGGAAGCCAAAACCAAAATTACATCGAAACATTTCTTCACCTGTCAGGACCTGGACTTTTGGAAGCTCAAAAGCCGAGAATCTGCCTCTCTAGCTTCTCTCTGCATCTTCCTTTCCTTGCGATAGTGAGAACGGGCCAGGCCAAGGTTTGCTTAAATCTAGCAGGGTTGGGAGATGGGGAAAGAATAGGTGTAATGAAAGGGATTTCACTTTTCTCTTTCTTTTTGTAACATGTTTTAGTTACATGGGTGGAGTCTAAGTGGACTTATGATGTGATTCCAGTATATAAAACACAACTTCAGCTATATGCAAACTATGTATACGTACATGTTCTATTTTCCTGTTGGTGGAGGGGGTGTTTCACACAGAGATGTATGCAAGGCAAGTGAACCAGAGAAAATACAGCCATATGTGTTAACAGGAGTATCTCTGGATGGTGAGATTAGAGGTGATTAATGTGATTCTCAATATTTTATATGTTTTCCGCTGTTGATAATGGAAAAAGAAAAAAAAAAAACTCTAAAAAGTTACTTTTTTCTAAGTCTTTATATATGAGGCATAGATATAGAATAGAAGGCTACAGTAGCATCAAATTGTTTTGGAATGGAAAGATTTATCACCTGCCCTTATTCTTCCAAGCTGCAGATGTTTGTGGCATGGAATAGAAACTGTTGTCATGTGATGCTTTCACCAGTTATCCCCAAAATCAATCATCCTTACAGTTTTTAACACCCAGAGATACACACACTAGAGGGCATCGAAAATTCCAGCATAATCGTTAAATGGCTGCAGTAGAGTATCAGCGCGTATAGAAAAGGCAAAAAGGGGCTTGTGGAAGAGTGACACGTCTTAAATGTAAACACAGGGAGAAGTGCAGTTTTGAAGCGTGGCAGCTTCATAATAATCAGAAAAGCCCTCCCTGCCAGCACTTTCAAATCAAAGGCTCCGTTAATATTAAAAGGTTCAAGTTCACATCTTCATTCAACAGAACTATTGCGTCCCTTTCTTTGTGCTAGTGACACATGAGTAGTGATTGTATTTTGTTGCATTGAACAATGTCTTTTCTTTATTTCATGTATGATTATATACTTATTTACCAAATTTCATTTACTCTCTCCTAGTCACCCAAAAACTACAGTATAAATATTGGTTATAGGAAGAAAGGCCTAGCAATCTACTTCCGAAAAATCAACCAATGAAAACCCTATGGATCACAACTGTCCGATCCTGTTGTGCATGGGGTCGCCATGATTTGGGGACTGACTCAATGACAGCTAACAACAACAAGGGCATGAAATAAGCAGTTGTATAGGGAACACTGCTCTGTCTCTGTCTGCCCACTGTATTTCTTTCCCTAGATTTCCAAGTCCTGGTCCCAAGTGTAAGAATACCAGCCACGTTGACTTCATTGCCAGCTTGTTTTAGAAATGCAAAATTTTAAGCATAGATTGCATTGCGGAGTGATTACGTACATGTATTTTGCGATTGTCAAATCATGGAAATTTAAACATGAAAATGCCTCTTGCCATTATCCTATTTATTCATATCAATTTCAAAAAGTAAAAACTATCTCCTCCCTTGGAATAGCAAGCCTGGCTGCAATCATTACAGGAGCCTTTATCAGCTCCCTTGATTACACACAGTGCATTCTCCCGCCAGTGTGCAGGCCAGCATGTGGGTTTGGGGGAGGGGGGCGTCTCTCATCCTATAATTCAACTCCCCACATTCTAGCTGTATGACGACTGGGTGTTCACAGAGAGTAGAGAAGAGGGGGGAGAAGAACCCAGCATCTCGCCACCTGTGGTCCCAGATGGCACCGGACCACACTTCCGCGTAACCCATAAAGGCTTCAAAACAGATAAAGCAAATGCACTAAATAAAAGAAAAAAAACTACATCCAGCCACACATAGTTATGATACAGATTATTACGCACACAATCAACTGCGACTTCTAAAATATAACTGAATCAAACACTAGCAAAACACAGATGAAGAAATAAGCTGCTCTATTCTTCCCTCCACTGATGGTACAGTGGAATTCATACAGATTTACTAGTTCAAATACTTTTTCCATTTTGCTCACTTGGACACGCAGAGGAGAATTTTCAGGATGTCATCATCCATTACTATGACGGCTACGAATTACTGCTGGACTGTGCTGAGTGCTTACATACATTATTTAATTCAATCCTCACCACTCTCTGAAGAGGCAACTATGGTAACCTCTGTCTCAGAGGTGAGAACCTGAACACAGACAAGGTGAGAAACTTGCTCAAATCCATACAGCTTAGTAACAGGTAGAAACTGGATTTGAATCGGGCAGTTGAATTCCAGTGTCCAGGCTTCCACACTCTGGTGAAAAGTCGTGCTACTTAACAAAGATATAATCACTTTACACTTTCTTTTGAGCCTTTTCTCAAAGCTTGGCTACCCTTTGAGTTCACTGACAACTCAGACAGCTCTTGTGCCAAAGATATTAGTGCTGTCTATCCATAAAGGTGTGGGTTTCTCATTAACCATTCCAGATTGCAGCTTTGTTAACAGAAATAGAATCCTCTAATGTCATCAAGTCTGCATCAGGGAAGAGTAATAAAGTTTCCAAAGTGCTAAATTAAAATAAAAAGTTTTCCTCAATCTCGCCAAGAAAATTCCAGGCCATATGTAGAAAAAATTCATTATTCTTAATCAAAAGTTGGAAAATGTGCATCCTTTTCTAAGCCCTTTGCATCAGATGTGTTTTACTGTCTCTTAAACTACATGTGACATCGATATCGCAAGCGTCTACTCAATGTGCGTTTTCCATTTGGCCTCCCTAAAGGCTTAATATTGGAAATAAGGTGAAGTCTGATGTCAGTTTTCAAAGCGTATTTCAGATTCAAAGGGAGCCGAATTCTATACTCCAAACCATCACTAACCCAGAACAATGTCTATCTTTTAAGCATTTTTCAATTTAAAATCTTATATGTATGAAATGTTAGGGAATATAAAAGAGGCTGAAGAGATTAAGATAATCCTCAAGAACAAAGGACATTTGAATCTTTTAGGACAAACTTCCTTTCCAGGAAAAAAAAAAAAAATGAGGAAGGGCCATCTACCAAAAGATGTAAATAAATTAAAGAATATCTGTCATGCTCTACACGAAACAGATCATCATGAGATATCAAAAAAGGGACATACAACAGCAAACATGTAGACAACAAGAATAAAGATAATGGTACCAACAGCCAATACCTACGGAGCACTTATATGTGCCAAGGACGGGGCTAAGAACTTTATATACATTCCTACAGTTAATTTCCACAATATCCTCGGAGGTTAAGTACTATTGTTAGCCCCAATTTAAAGATAAAGAAACAGAGACAGGCTAAATATCTTGCCCAAGGTGACACAGTAAATGGTGGAGTTGGGATTCAAACTCCAGAGCCTGTGCTCTGTCACTGCCTCCCAGGTAGAACAAACCATTGACTTCACCAGACGACCTCAGGGGAAGAGATTTAATGGTGAAAGGAACAATTTATATTAAGAGGGTGGAATGATGTGATGGTTGGTTAAAAGTAACTGATTTTGTTTTTTGGTTCAAAATCACCTAAAACCTTTCTTTCGGGCTCTAGAGAATCATACAGTTCTCTTTACAAATAACATTGCTGACTTTTAATAAGAACATGATGGACTAAATACCAATATGTCAACGCCATAATGAAGGCTCCAGTTTGCTATTCGGTGATCCAGTGAAATGCTGCCATTTTAACAATCGAGTTTAATTTTTAAAAGATTTTTAGCTGCTCTGTTCACCAACACAGTCTATAACTACCAATACTAGCAAGCAAATTAAGATACTGAACAAATGAGTTTTGTAAGATAATACTTTTCAAATATTAACGTATATCCAAATCACCTAGAAATATGGTTAGAATCCAGATTCTGACTGAGTAAGACTATGGTGGAGCCGGAGTCCTTGGGTGGTGGAAATGGTTAAGCACTCAACCACTTAACAGAAGGTCAGTGGTTTGAATCCACCCAGCAGCACCTCAGGAGACAGGCCAGGCGATCTGCTTCCATAAGGTCACAGCTTTGAAAACCCTACAGAGCAGCTCTACTCTGCACACATGGGGTCGCCATGAGTTAGAATCAATTCGAAGGCAACTAATAACAACAAGAAGTGAGGGGCCTGAGCGTCCAAATTTCTAACAAGCTCCCAGATGACGCCAAAGCTGCTGGTTCATGGACCACACTTTGGGTAGCAAGGCTGTGGGACACAAGTCATCTCTTTTGTTAAAAAACCCAGTTTTGAATTTTTTATGAGCTCAGAAGCCACTTTTTACTCCTTTACTTCAGAAGAACTGTCTGTCCAATGCCAAAACCAAGAGAAAATAAAAATTCACCCTGCAAAGCACAGAATTTTGCTAGGTCTCCATCTGAGTGGTTTCTTCCCTACACTTTGATATATACCCAATAAACACTAGAAGTTGTATCCGCACCTCCTTCTCTCAGAGATTACTGATAGTTCCTCTCTTTTTACCTGCTACAAGCCTTCCTTCACATTTGTTGCTGTGTGCAGTAGAGCTGATTCAGACTCAGAGTGACCGCACGTGACAGAGTACAGCTGCCCCTAGGCTGTAATCTTTACAGA